TAATGCAGTTGTTGAGAATACTATATACTGTTTATATAACAATTTCAATTTTATTTTTTCTTCTATAGAATTTTTTTGCGCATCGTAACTAAAAAAGAAAATTTCTTGATTTGTTTTGCATAGAATAAAAAAGCTTTTTATAATCATAATGTTAAGTATAACGACAGCGCTAAAGTTTTGTAAAAAAAAAATGAATTTAACACACACATTAGTTTCACCAATTTTCTTAGAAACACATTCTGAAATTGATTCGTTAACAGAAGATTTTAACCAACTTAAGATCTTTTACCAAACCGAGAAAGATTATGAAATTGAAATGAAAGAAATACTAGAAATGAATGAACTTTTTCCTGAAAACATATATAATATAGAAAATTAGGAAGAAATGTAATATTTTAATAACCAAGTTCTTACTCCATTACAAATTAAAAAATTTCAAATAATATTTTCTCAAAATACTATTACAGAAAATAATGAAGAACAAGAAATTAATAAAAAGTTAACCATTGTTTTAGATCAGCAAGAAAAAGAAGCATTTATTAATAAACTTCGTACAATGGTCTGTTGTAAAACCAAAGCATGTTTAACTAAAATTGACCATAAATCTGCATTTAAAAATTTTGATAATATTCAAAAATTAGCAAAAGTTGAGTACAATATGTTTTTATTAGAGATGCTTTATGCAATGGTTCGTCCAAATAAAACTTTACGTGGTAAAGAAAAACAGTACTTAACTGTAAAATATATATTTGATGCAAATGAAATTTGCGAAAAAGCATTTCAACTTATATATTTACTATCGACTAAAAAATGGAAAAGTATTCGTTAACCTTATCATATAAATGGTATTAAATCTATTAAGCATGCACTTTCAGAAAGAAAGTCTAATCATGCTTTATCGTTCGCAACTGTTTTAAATGTCCTTACATTTGTTGTTAATTATGCAAACTGTCATAGATTGCCATTACCAGGTGAAATTATTTTATTATAATTTTATAATTAACAGAGTGTAAAGAGTAAATATTAGGCATTCACTTATTATCAATTATCTGCTAAGTTGGGACTTTCTGAAAGGACATGTACAGCTGAAAATTGTTACAAAAATGTATTGAAGTAAAAAAAAGAATTCATATTCATTTTTTATCAAAAATCTGTTTATGTAGAAAATGGATTGTATTCAACAATATATTCAACAACCCTAGTATTGCCTATAAAAAAAATTTAGCTGATGTCACTTGTAAATATAATGATGAAATTAAGTTTATTAAATTTTTGCAATAATTAAATATCAAAACACAATTGATTGTAGTCAATAATGGACTAACCTTTGAACATTTCATTAATAACAAAAAACTATTCATCATAAGATTTTTAACCATATCAGCTAAATTTTTTATATGCAATGCTAGAAAAGGATAAATATAAGCATTAAGTTATTATTAAAAATTAGCTAATTTGGAATAAACAGAAGAAGCTGTTAATGTTATGAAACTATATTGACCAGTAAGAATTATATCTTTAACATGAACAGCAAAGTAATCCCAGCATAAATAATTTTTTTTTAAACTAAACACACCGGGTGTGGGATTAGATATGTAACATCGACGGTTTCTCCTATTATTTGAAAATATTTTAGTATATAGAATATTTTAAGTTAAAATTGATATAAAAGTAGAATTGGAGTTAAAAAGAATGGATGCAATATTTTACTTTTATTAACGCCTATTTTCATTAGGGTGGCATTTCCGAGA